TTTTTTATGATTTTCGGTAAGGTTTTAATTCAAATAAATTTATCTCATTATGAAATTAATGTATTGTATTTTTGAGTATTATGCGTATTAACTAATGATTATACTGTATCGTTAATGAAAAAGTGTTAAATGCTTCTTTTGTTATGACAAGATACATAATAAAACCTGTTCATATAATTTCAATATACCAGCTAGATAAATTTTTAACGCCCTGTATAACTGTAACATTTTTAGTTATATAAAATTATTTGTTTGCTTTATTTAATTATACATTAAAATGCATAATGCTTAAAAATCCGATATCTTATTTCACAATGAGATAAAATTATTAGTATTAAAACTCTACCGACAATCACAAGAATATCGAAAACATCGCAATGGAGAGCGATAGCCAAAAAAACTCATAAACGTCCCGAGGTATAAAACACCTCCTTCCAACTACCCACAAAAAATGGATCTCCTCCATCCCTCCACAAAATGAGGCTCACTTAAAATTTTGTTAAAAATGCGCGCATTTTTGTTTTACCCTGTATTATGGGTCCTGACCAATAATTGAAAAAAACTACAAAGAACGGTTCGATAGTCCATAAAACAATGTTTTAGAATCTGGCTGGCAAATTCAAAATTCCTTCAGAAGTTTAAAAAATACAAGAAGTTAAACTTAATGCAAAAAGTTGCACTTTACGCTTCAATTGATGCTCAGTTTAGTTACACACTGTGGTTCAAATTATTATAATTTATAACATTTAAATCTTATACAATATAATGATATTTATATAATTTTAAGTGACAAAAAAAGTAAATTATATTAAATGAATTCATCGGCATCCGCAAAAATGAAGAATGTAGTTTTCATTTTTTTCCACACTGTTTATCTTTTATTTTAAATTTTTAACAAACGTGGCCGAATGTGGCGATAAAATTTATAGAATCACTACTTTAACAGTTGCTTTTTTTAGTCAAATTAATCCGAGACCAAAGATCGGTAAAGCTTTTTTGTTCTAGTCTGATTAAAGTAAGAAGTAAAGTAATTTTATTAGAAATAGATTCAAACTAAACTGCATCAAAGGCACGGTATATTTTGGCAAAATGATTTTTACTTTTAATACCCATGGATAAACGAAACAGTTCCTGGGTAATACCGATTTTTAGGAATTAAAAGAAGGGCTGTATAATATTACTTGTTTTCGCTGTATTTTTGTGCGTTTCGTATATTAAGAAAATTGTAAAAAAGGAGGTGTTGTAAATTCAAAACTAGTAATTAAATTAAAAAAGTAATATTATTATATTGTCTTTGAACTAACTCGATGTAAGATAGGATAATTTAAACCCGATTTAACACCCTCTTTTTTGTTTTTTTTTTCATTGCCGAAACCACTGTGCGCCGGGCTGACTAATAGGAATTTAAATTTCCCGCTGGGGATTCAGGTGAGCTTGTCAAAAATGTCAAGTTGCAACATTTATTTATTTCCTGACATTGTCATTCGTTCTGACACTTTAGTTTTGTATTACGAGTTTTTGATTTAAATGATTTGTGTTGTGATACTTTCAGCTTAAGTTTTTTACTAGCAGACCTTGCAGTCAAACGTTGTTCTTTTTAGAACCTCTTTTAGTGCGAAGTGTACAAGATAGCTTAATAGCCGTTGCAAAAAACCCATCGCAACCTTATTAGAATATTATGAACGGGAAAGCGGTAGTAATGACCCTTTATGTCTCTTAAGTAATGTTAAAGGGTTTAATTGATGTAAATAATAACTGTTTATATATTTATAATTAATTTATTTATGTTTCCTAAAATATTCCGATTAAAAGAAAATATTTAAAACTAGGCAACGCTGTGCCGGTCAAGCTTAATCACGTGACTAAAAGTTTATATGGTATGATCTATATGGAGGGTTCAGTTTCAAAGATGTTAGACTTCCTGAAAAGGATAGCGCATGAGAATGTAACCTAGGAATCAGAAGAGGACCACAATAGATCTGAAAAGATCCCAATAAAACAGGCCGATAGCCACCTCAAAAATAAATCTAATATAACAAATAAGCGGCAACCTAGCATTTTTCTGTTTATATGTGGTTTGTATATCTTAAGAACTTTCTTAAGGTTTATCTATATTATTTGTAGGAGGTAGCGACCTATACCAACAATTTCTGCACGTTAAAAATAACTAAAATATAATGTAAATGAACTAAAAATAGATAAACAAATATTCAAGTACTCTTTTAAAAAAGGTATACGCCTCACAAAAATAAATAATGATGATGAATAATAAATCGCTTAGTTAATGGTTAGTAAAAGCCGACGTTTATTTTTATTATATTAGTTCGCCTATAAAACGAAAATACGACATGCAAAACAGAAAGGTTAATCTCCTTTACTACGGGAGAGTTTTGAGTTAATTTAGACGTAGTATTTTGTTCCATGCTGCCAAAAATATTTATCCATTTATTGATTCGTCATAGACTTAAAATTTATACATAAAAATATCGATTTTTATCTGTCGTTAAAACTTAACAATGATACCCGGTTGCGTAGAGGTATAGCTCTGTTCTACCAATCTAAAGGTTGTGAGTACGAATGCTGCAACCATGGGGTTCATAACGACAATTTGACTCGAAATACCAAGTATGTAGTACCAAACTATTCGTAAAAAATGATTTTTCCAAATATGCTACTGAGCCAACCTAGTTCCATTTGAAAAAATTGAAATATGATTAAAAATACGATTTGGGCATCTTTTAACTGGCCAGAAAAAGACACGAAAAACATTAGACGATCAAATATATTTTTCCAAGGCTCCTTGATTAAAAATTAGTATTTTAATACGACCATAGCACTCTAGATTGAAATTTAAAATACGATTTTTTAAGCGAAAATGTCAAAAGTTGACATATGATATGCCATTCCATTCAGAATGTCATTTTCTATTGAATAAAGTAAAAAAATACCGAGGGTGCCATTTAAAAATCAAAAGTTGTAGTTATCAGGCCGAAAACAATTGAATATGTCACCCAATACTAATTTTTTCATATAAAAAATAAAAAAGTTATAGGGGTGAGCCACTTTTCAGAAACACCCGGTATTTAAAGAGACGAGTTAGCATAATATATTATAGAGTTTTAAAATTAACCCTGTTAAATACTAAAAAGTTCTTTTAATCAGTGTCAAACAATTTTTACGGCTAAAACAGGGGCGATCACGCGAAAAAAATAGTATAAACGCCATATTGACGCCGCCCCTCGAGAGAAACCGAGACATGTTACAGTGAAGTTGTTTATTCCCCATAAATATTATTTCAGTTCGAGGGTTTTCGAAGCAATTCGATTTTTTTGTAATATGTACCGTGCACGCACATTATTTGCCTAGAAAAGAAATATTGTTTGCTCAGGAAAATATATCGGTATACGTGCGAATAACATAGAATCAAAAAAATAAAAAATTTCTACATGATGCAGAATATCCTATCCATATCCAAAATTTCAGTCTTTGATGATCACTAATTCCGTCTATAAGTAATATAATTATTTACTGAAATATTTACATTTTCTCTTCAAAAATAGTAAAACAAACAATCATCCATAGTTCATTTCAGTCCGATTAAATTTTACGAACAATTAACTAAAAATAATTATATCGCTCAGTATTAATTACTATTGTTACATAACTTAAGGAAAATAATTAATAAAATGTACAGAAAGTGTGTAGTTTTTATAATGAGCTGTATAATTAACTATACAGCCCATTTTGAGCTATATAATTAATTTATATTTAAAACCGATTGGTAATCTTTCATTGTGCAATCATCGCCATATAAAAATCATCGTGCATCAAAAACGTGCCATCTTTCTAATATACAATAAAAATCGATATAGTTTGGGCGCAGATTTTCGTGTACGAGAAAGTACGGTCAACACGCTTAGCAAAATAAGATGTACTGAATAAAGACAGAAGGCAAGTATTTTCCCAAGCGCATGGAATCTACCGTCAGATTAAGTGGTTATGTAATAAGTACTTCGTATTTTTGCTCTCTCCGACTTACTAGATTGCCATAGCGATTCACTCCTATTAGGGCTGCACCGAGTACCGAGTAGTTCTGTGCTCGGCCAGAATTTTAACCGAGTAATGTGTACTTGGTGATCGGCCTTACTGGGCCGAGTAGGCCGAATAAAGTATAGTAATAGAAACAATCCATTTATGTATGTCCAAAACAGATAGAAATGAGACTCATAGTGGCAAATAATAAAATAAACAAAAAGTTATTCATTCATAACTTTAATTAATGTATTTTAGGAAAGTAATAATAATAAGTATAAGTAATAACACAAACACAGTGAAATAATAATTTAATACTTATAATCTAAAAAAGGTCAGCACTGTCACTCATTTTAATATAACTTTAAAGGGTATTATTAATTGTTTGAATTATTTTTTACTTTTAAATTAGTTACACATATAAGATTTGCTTAAAACAAAATCAACGTCGCCACCGCACCTTAAAAGAATCAATTCAGAATCCAGCACATTAGAAATATCAGTTTGCATGGGGAACCACAGAATAAAACAATATCTCCATAAGTAGAACAAACCAGGTTATTGGTTTGTAGTCGGGGAATCCCAGCCGCTCGCCAATCATAGGCAAAACAAACAAGATCATTGGTTTAAGGCCGGGGAATTCCGGAAATTTTAACTAGCTTAATTTTTAGCCAGCAGGGTATATACATAGTATAGGTAGATTTATAATGTAACATTTTGAGAATGAATTCAGAATCAATAATAATTATTAATCCAAATAATTACGGGGTAGCATATTGGAATATATAAGAGCGAAAAATTTCAATTTACTCTCATGTCGTAAAGTGTGAAAATAGAGTTTTAAAGATTCCGTTACCAGGTGCCGTTACAGGTGAATCTAACGTCATAATAAATAATAGAAAATGTATCATAACTATCGAAACAGATTTCAAAAATGAGTTAACTAAACGTGTATATCTATCACTTACCTCAACCCCTGTAACTCCCAAAGCATCCCTTATATTCGGCGTAAGTCTGAAAGGGACCTTTTCCGGTACCCTCAAAGTCTTGCCCTTCTCAAAGCACACGTTATAATCAATATGCACGACATCCCCGGTTGTCAGATCAATCAGCATGTTGTCCAAATGTCTGTCGCCCAATCCGATAATATAACCTTAAAAATAAGAGATAAATATATAGTCCCTATATAGACGATGGTCTTGACGTTACGACGTTCTCTATTATTGAACCACCCCGTACAACAACCGTCAAAAAAATTATGTCTATACCGGTCTAAACCGTCAAAAGTTCGCAATACATGAGAAAATAATAGATATTAAAAAGAAAATAATATAAAAAATCGACTAAGCATAACAAAAAAATGAATAGCATAAGATTTTTATTTTAAATTTCTTGGCGAATAAAGCTTGATTTTCATGCGTCCGTTATACGGCGCTCTGATTAGTTATAGCCTTTTCGCGCCGCTTTTCATCAGTAAATTTTTTACTCCAGCCCGTCAACGGAGAAAGATCGTACGATAACGGACGTTTTGACACTTTTTTGACAAATTGCCTTAATCTATACTAATATATAAAATCCTTAAGTGACAGACTCACTGATTAATCACGATCCTGCTCAAATCACTCAACGTAAAAAGCTCAATTTTGGCATACAGTTTGATTCGAGAGTGTAGAGGTTCGATAAGAAGGGATTTTTCGAAATTCCAGTTCCAAGGGGGTGAAAGCACCCCTCAAATATTTTTTATTTAAAAAACGGTCAAGTTTCCGAAAAAACGCCTAAACACTTATATTCTATTTTGCTTTTTACATATTTTAAGATTTTTTAAGAATGTATACAGGGTGTTTCGAAAAAGCTGGTCATTGATTAATCACGATCCTGCTTAAAGCGCTTGACGTAAAAAGCTGATTTTTGGAAAAAGGATTGATTTTAGGATGTAGAGGTTCGGTAAGAAGGGATTTATCGAAAAAGAGAATTCTAAGAGGGTGAAATCACCCCTCAAATATTAGAATATTTTTTATTTAAAAACCGGTGAGTTTTTCGGAAAAACTCTTGAACACGTATATTTTATTTTGTTGTTTTACATATTTTAAAATTTTTTAAAAATTTATACAGGGTGTTTCATAACCATTGACCATTGAGTAATCACGATTCTGCTTAAACTACTTGACGTTTAAAGCTGATTTTTGGCAAACCGATTGACTGTGGGTTATAGCCGGAGAGCTGGCGACATATTTAGAGAACATATTTTAGGCAAGTTAGAATAACAAAAAAAATAAAGTTTAATAACTTGTGAACCCAGAATCCTAAGTCTGGCTGGGGGGTTGGGGGTATTTCGCTACTGCGCAACCCATAACATTTAACAACCAACAAAACCAACAAAAAAACATTCTTTAGGCAACTTGAAATTTGTTTATTCTTAAATTTTAGCATCAATTTAACATAGAAATAAGTGTGCCAGACTTTTTTTTCGGGTTTAAAGTGTAACCAGACCATTCCAAATATGTTTAAATATTATACCTGAAAAACATACTTTAGGCATTCTAAAACTTTTACAGCGTGTTTATTAGATGATATTAAAAAATATGTGTTAATTGCCAGACGAATTCAATGAGATTTAATACTTGCCAGACGCGAATAAAGATTTTAAATGAGCGCGACAAAAAAGTCTTATGAGTATCTATAAGCGCGAGAAAGATAGTTTATTGAGACCCGTCGGCAGCGGATGCGGCTGACGTAACAGTATTTTGGAGTACTTCAAATTTTCATAAAAACAATTCTTTTTCGGTTTCATTTCAATTATTTGCAGGCTTTTAACCCTATATTTAGTTTATTCACCTTCCGCTGTGTTTAACGCTTTACGGTCAATGTAGCCTGGTAGATACATTGTTTACAAACGGCGTGCATATATACTACCACCTTGCGGCAATTTGGCGAAATAAATTTATTCATCATGGTGACTTGCCTCCAGCTGACTGCTGCAGCCGTGAATCTGGGTGGCAATATATTCAAAGTAAGGTAGGAACTGTTCGTTTGATTATTAATATTTGTAATAAATGTCATAAATAACAATATAAACTTTGACTGTAGGATATTTTTTTTTTACTTATAGTTGCTAGATCTCAAGGAAAATTAGTTTGAAACTCTATGTAGCTCACAGGCAACATCGTCTGCATAATAGTCTTTTTGTTTCAGGTTATAGTAAGTTCATAGACATGGATATTTCGGATTGCTCGGAAATTAGTGCGGCTAGGTTTTACGGAAAAAACCCAATGTTGCCGTAACTCCTACTAATCCAAATGTGTCAGATATTGAAAACGATTCGAGTGACGATGAGCAGTTAGATCGACAGATTCTGTTGAATGGCTCGGATTTGAATGAAGATGAGGAGTTGCCACACGGAATGGACATTGTTATGCCAGAAACTGAATCGGAAACAGAGGAGAATTATGAATCTGAACCGCCCCGCCAGAAAAGAAAAGTAAGTAGAAATACGGATACCTACCCTTGGATTGAGAATGACATTATTTCCACGGATTTGAAGCCCACCAAAATTCCTGAAACTGCTAATGTTCAAACACCTCTCGAATATTTTACAAAGCTTTTTTCACTTCAAGTCATGGATGATATTGTGTATCAAACAAACCTTAGTAGCAAAATTCTCGGAAAACCTATTGATACAAATCCTTCTGAAATAACCGATTTTTTATCCATAATTATGACTATGGGTGTTATACATTTACCGGCAATGGAGGATTATTGGTCTGGTGCTACCAGAATTGACCAAATTGCCAATGTAATGTCTCTCAAACGGTTTCAAAAATTATGTAGATTTTTACACTTCAACGACAACGATCAAATTACAGATCAGACGAAAGACAGATATTATAAAATAAGACCTCTTCTGGAAGGTGTAAGAGAAAATTGTTATAAATATCAGTTTGAAAATCAGTATTCTGTAGACGAGACTATGATTGCTTATAAAGGAACATATGCAGGGAATTTGAGGCAATATATACAAAACAAGCCCCACAAATGGGGGTATAAATTTTTTGTACGTGCAGGAGTTTCGGGTTATGTAGCTGACTTCATCCCCTACCAAAGTGCAGTTACATTTGAAGAACTCGAAGGGCTTCCTAATGAATTGACAGAGGAAGAAAAGAGTTTCGGTGTAAGTGCTTGTGCGGTTATTGCTTTGTGCAAAACGATATCAGAACCAAAAAATGCAGTGGTATTTTGTGATAACTGGTTCTCTAGCCTAAAGTTATTCACATATCTAAAAGATAAATTTCAGATACTTGTGCTAGGAACAATTAGAAGCAATAGGATTGGTGGATGTCAGTTAGAAACAGATAAGGTCTTACAAAAGAAAGGCAGAGGTTCCTTTGTTTATAAAGCAGATGTTGCTAAAGGCTCATAGTGGTAAAGTGGTGCGATAATAAATGTGTACTATTAGCAAGTACCTTCTGTGGCGTGGAACCTGTAACTACCATAAAACGGTACTCAAAACTTGAAAAGAAAAAGGTTAATATCACCTGCCCAGCTGTTATTCTTCTTCTTAAAGTGCCTTCTCCATTCAGTGAAGATCGGCAACAACCATGGCAAATCCCTCTCTATTTTTCGCTCTTCTCAGCAAAGTATGTGAGTCCAGGCCTGTCCAATCTCTGATGTTCTTCAGCCAGGAGCATTCCCGTCGTCCGGGTCCGCGCTTTCCCTCAATTTTACCCTCGATGATGAGCTGAAGGAATTCATACTTGCTATGTCTCATGATATGGTCCAAATAGGCTGCTTTCCTCTTTTTTATTATGTGCTGTTGTTATAACACAATAGTGCTATAAGTGCCAGCTGTTATAACACAATACAATAAACACATGGGGGGTGTTGATAAAGCGAATGCTTTACTTGGTCTTTATCGCAGCCCAAGCAGATCTAAAAGGTGGTACTTTTCGATAGTCACGTGGGTTATTGATATATGCGTAAATAATGCCTGGATTCTGTACCAAAATGACTGCAAGGCTCTAAAGGAGAAGCCCATTCCGCTGAAGTTGTTCAAAATGGAATTAGCTAAATCTTTATCCAACACCGGCAAACAACGACGTACTAAATCGATAGGCGGGAAGAAACCTGCTGAGAAAATAGTTAATTCCACGACTCCTAGACCTGATATTGCAACACGGTACGATGGTTTAGGACATTGGCCTACCTACAACGCTGACGCTAAAGGAAGATGCAGACACTGTAAAAGCGGTTTCACAACAGTTTTTTGCACCAAATGTGAATTACGACTCTGCTTGACACCATCTAAAAATTGCTTTTATTATTTCCATGACCAAAAAACGCAAAAGAATTAGCGTGTTTATGTTTGTTATTTTTTTGTAAAAAGGTTTTGATATATTTTTTTTAATATTTTTATATGTTTAGGAAGGAATCTACGAAAACCCCATTCATTTTTTGATATGAATTTTTGAATAAAATAAATAAACAAAAAATGTGTTTTTACTATTTGATCAACACAAAAATAACTTCTCTCGACTGGCATTGTTGCTCTCAAACTACAAAGAAAAATGTCCATAACTTGGCAATGTTGCTCATGAGCAACCATTTCAAAAGTCATTTTCTATCAAAAATTATTACATTCTAGTCATTTATAAGTCACCTCTATATCAAATATTATTGGTGAACTCATTTTTAGGGTCTTGTAAAGATTTTTAGTACCTTGCCAGATACAGGGTTAATTCAGAGATTATTTTGTTGGAATGTACAAATATGTATTTATAAATTAAATATTGACGTGCATAGTGTAAATAGTTTAGAATACTTACTGCAAATAAATATTTTAGTAACTACTAATTTCGCTACTAACTACTAATCACAATGGATAAAAAACATTTAAGTTGTGTAGTTTGTAAAAAAGTTACTAGTGACAAAGTTATTGTTTTTGATGAAGGCAGACTACAAAAATGCAAAGAATTTTTAAAAGTGCGCCAACAACATGGTTTAAAATTTAAAGAAGTGGTTTTACCATAAAACGTAGTCCCGACAAAAGGATACCATGTACAGTGCTAAAAAAATAAGTATTCTGGAATTTTATTAAAGTACCCTTGTTAATCTTTCTAAATAGATTCAAAAGTAAGTATGCTTAGGCGTTAAAATGAC